AGCTACCTAGGATTCAACCGACGGTCGAATCTACGAACAAGTAAGGGGGCACAAACCATCGTCGTCGTTGGAGAACCACCTGTCCAGGTTCAACCAAGGAATCCAGCAGGAATGCAGCTAAACCGACTGATTCTAATATTGTAAGTAATGCTACTGTATCCAGTTTTACCTAGTTCTTCCGAAAATAATAACTACATCTACAACCACCAAAATGTCTCTAGGTATAGAAATTTGTAAAGATATGCTAATAAAATTCGATGGCAACAAAGCCAAACTTTACAAATTTATTGACTATTGTGATAAAGCAAACGAAGTCGTAAAGTCAGAACAAAAAGATGTACTTTTTAAATTAATTGAGACTAAGTTAACTGATAACGCCAGAGCTATTGTTAGAAATCGTTCTTTCAGTGATTGGGCAGAATTAAAAAAAATTTTACTAGACGCGTATTTTGATAGAAGGACGAGTGCACAATGGCAACTCGAATTAAACTCATGTCGCCAAAACTTTAACGAACCAGTAATCTCATACTCAAATCGTGTCGAAAATTGCTACCTAAAATTAGTAAATACCTTAAACCCAACTCTATCAGAAGAAAAACGGGGAGCTCAAGTAGATTTACTCAAAGAACAAGCTTTAAATGTTTTTATTTCGGGTTTGACTAGAGATCTGTCTATTTTAGTTAAATCACAGAAACCTAATTCACTCGAAGACGCAATAGCCATAGCTCAGAGCGAAGAACAACAATTAAAGTCAAAAACCGAGACTAGCAAATACCATGATTTTAAATATTGTTCAGTTTGTAATAAACCATCATGTCATAATAGTTATAATTGTAGATTTAATAATGCCAATAATGTAAAACGTAGAAATGAACTTTCAAACATCAGACATTTTCAAAATAAACCAACACCTATTCCAAATTCTAGTAACTTTAGACAAACAGCAAATTCTAACAATTTCAGGCAAGTCTCAAAAATTTGTAATTATTGCAAGAACAAAGGTCACTTAATAAACGAATGTCGAAAAAGACAATATAACAACCAACGAAGAGAACAAAGTCAAAACTCAAGAGTCAACTAAAAGACGACGAGGGAAATCAAATAATATTAAAAGGTATAGACAATGATATTCCAAATCCTACTAAAACGTTATGCTACGTATTTCTAGATCTTAATATCAATAACAATACTATAAATCACTGTTTCCATGTCGTACCTGACGAATTTCCTATTCCTTTTGATGGTTTACTGGGTAATGATTTTATAAAAACACATCTATACAACATTGAATATTCTTCAAATACTATATGATTATTCTATTCCATTGCATGATATCGAAAAAACCTTAAAAATCGAAAATATATCAACTCCAATTCCTAAATCCTGCTTATTACCAAATTCGAGTCACTCATTATCAAACGAAAATCAAGTCGAAACAATTTTACAACCTAGAACGGAAACTATAATAAAAATAAAAATAATTAATTCACAGTTAACCGAAGGCATTTGTCCCCACGTACAAATTCTCGAAGATGTATTTCTATGTCCAAGTATAGTTAATGTAAATAACGGTTACGCGCTTACTTCTATTTTAAATTGTTCTGAAAAGGCAGTAAAAATAAATAATATTGAAATCTTCTAGATCCTCCACCTGAAAAACCCGACGAAGTTCAAGTAAACACTTTTTCGGCTTCTCAAAATTTTTCAACCCAAAGATTAGATAAAATCTGAGAACTATTAAGAACAGATCACTTAAACGTAGAAGAAAAAGACTCCTTAATAAAAATTTGCCACGAATTCAATCACATCTTCTTCATAGAAGGAGACACTCTTTCATATACAGATGCAGTCATGCACGAAATTCCCACCAAACCTTCACCGCCTATCAATGCCAAAACTTATCGGTATCCAGAAATCCACAAAGATGAGGTAGACAATCAAATAAAACAAATGCTAAAAGACGAAATTATAACACACTCTACTTCACCCTGGAACTCTCCGGTATGGGTCGTGCCTAAAAAACTCGATTAATCGGAAAAAAGAAAATGGCGTGTCGTCATAGATTATAGGAAGCTTAATGAAATCACGATAGGAGATTCCTATCCTTTACCCAATATCACTGACATCCTAGATCAATTACGGCATTCCAGTATTTTTCTACTATAGACCTTACCTCAGGTTTCCACCAAATCAGAATGTCCCCAAACGACGCTGAGAAAACAGCATTTTCCACTCCTACAGGCCATATTCATTTTAACCGGATGCCTTTCGGGCTTCGAAATGCGCCATCTACCTTCCAACGCCTCATGAATACCGTACTTTCAGGAATACAAAATATTCGATGCTTCGTGTACCTCGACGATATAGTAGTTTTTTCCGATAATCTAGAAAACCACAACAAAAGACTCATTGAAGTTTTTCAACGATTGTCCGATTATAATCTAAAAATAAAACCAGATAAGTGTGAATTTCTACGGAAAGTACACTATCTAGGTCAACTGATAACAGAAAATGGTGTAAAACCCGATTCAAAGAAAATTCAAGCCGAATGAGAATTTCCCATTCCTAAGTCACCTAAAGATATAAAATCGTTTTTAGGATTAGCAGGTTACTATCGGAAATTCATACAAAATTTTAGTAATTTAACTCAACCTCTAACAAAGTTATTAAAAAAGGATGCACCATTCAATTGGACTAGTTTACAACAAAACCCTTTTGAAAATTTAAAACTCGCCTTATGTTCAGAGCCACTCTTACAATACCCAGATTTTAACAAAACATTTTATCTAACGACCGACGCAAGTAATTTTGCTATCGGATCCGTGCTATCGCAAGGAGAACCTCCGAACGATCTCCCGATTTCATATGCAAGTCGTACTTTAAACAGAACCGAGTCTCGCTATTCTGCCACTGAACGAGAACTTTTAGCCATCGTATGGAGTGTTAAACACTTCAGACCGTACCTATTCGGCAGACAGTTCGTAATTTTAACAGATAGCAAACCCTTAACCTGGCTTTTTAACGTGAAAGATCCTAGTTCACGATTAATACGTTGGAGACTGCAACTCGAAGAATATGATTACATAATAAAATATAAACCAGGCAAATCGATTCGTGTCGCTAACGCATTAAGTAGAATTGAACCTGAACCTTACCATATAACCGTTCATAGCTCAACTGACCATCCAAACGAATCTGAAACCATTCATGTAAATACATTTTCATCTGAATTAGATTACACAAACTTTTTAAACAAAGCCAAAACAACCCTCATAACTTGTAATAACCTCACCGAATCAGGTGAAGACTTACAACCTAGTAACAAAGATATCGTAATATTTACTTCTTTAGACTTAGAAAATACGAATCAACAAACGACGAAAGTAATTAGTACATATAATCACGAAACTCTACTTAAAAATTCGGAACCACTTTTGGGAGAAGAAAAACATTTTAATGAAAACGGAAAGAACATAATTTATACTTTTTATGAAGATTATTGTTGGGATGAAACAACTTATGAAAATATATACAACCTACTAATAAAAGTAAAACAGTCACTCGTAGAACTTAAAGTGAATAATATCAGTATGCCAGTCATAGGAAATAATTACGACAAATTAAATTGGAATAAAGTACGTATGATGATTAGGTTTATATTCAAAAATTCAAATATCAATATTAAAATCCACCATAACTCTCTCATAGATCCTTCTGCGGACCAAATAAAAAATATCCTTATAGAAAGCCACTCAAATCCTAGCTCAGAACATTCCGGTTTTCATAGAACGTATAACAGAATTAAACAAAATTTTAAATGGTCAAAAATGAAGTCAGATATAAAGAATTTTATAAAAACGTGCGAATCATGCCAAAGGAATAAGTTAGTTAGGAAAAAGACAAGACAACCTATGGAAATCACAACAAGTTCTGCACCGTTTGAAAAAATTTTCATGGACGTAGTGGGTCCCCTTACACTTACCGAAAATGGAAACAAATATATCGTCACCCTCCAAGACAATCTCACAAAATTCTCTAGAGCCTTCCCTGTACCAAATCACGAAGCAGAAAGTATAGCTAGACAGTTAGTAGAAAACTTCATTTGTATTTTCGGTATCCCTGAACATTTAGTTACTGACCAAGGTAAAGATTTTACCTCTAACCTACTTAAAGAGGTTTCAAAATTATTTAAAATTAAACAAATAAACTGTTCAGCTTATCACCCTCAATCAAACGGAGCCCTCGAGAGAAGTCACAGCACTTTAGCAGATTATTTAAAACATTATATTAATGCCAATCAAACAGACTGGGACAACTGGATAGAATTCAGTATGTTTAGTTACAATACCACGGTACATACCTCCACAAGGTACACACCATTCGAATTACTTTTTGGTCATAAAGCAAAATTACCAAGCAGTATAACAAAAACTCCTGAATTTAAATATACTTATGATGATTATTTATCCGATTTAACCATAAAACTTCAAAAATCTCACGAAATTGCTCAAAATAACCTTGTCCATTCAAAGCATACAAATAAAAAATATTATGATAACAAAATTAACAATTCAAATTTTAAAATAGGTGACCTAGTATGGATACTCATACGAGAATTATCTTGTGTACCCCCATATGAAAACACACGAATCCAAAAATCATCTGGAATATTCTATGAAGAAATCCAACAAGTCAAAATGCTCGAAAGTTCGTGGAACCTATACTCTTATTTTTAAACTAAGAGGAGCGTTTTGAATATTGCGCGCCAAAATGGTGGTTTCTCATTGGTTAATTTCGAGCACACTTTACACTGCTAATAAATTTTACATTTTGACATTTGTTGTCATTTTGCCTCTTAATTATCATCAGTTCGTTGTCATTGTGTTTTTACCTGCTTTTCTTTCTATTTATTATCCCAGTTACGTATAAATGAGTTCTTATCAGAACTAAACAACTTATTATATTGTTTATCATCCGTTTTTTCCAATTTTCCATTGGATATGGATGATGCTGTGCCGACCACGAGTAAGGCAGGCGCGGGAATTACATCGCCGTCGCCCCCAAGGAAACGAAAACAACTCAGTTTGGGGCAGAAAAGCAAGCAAGCAATATTGAATTTGTATAAGAAAAGCCTAGATGATGAACCTACTCTTAAAACTGTCCAACTTGTATCCAAAATAGCGATGACATTAGGTAAATTTATGTTAACATTATTCTGTTGAACTATATTACACATTATACTTTTTTAGGAGTTGAAAAATCAACAGTATATCGAGCCATAAAACAGTATAAATCTACTGGGGTGTCTACTTCCAAACACTGTGGTGGAAGACCTGGGATTGTTACATGTTTGGATGAAGCAATGAAGAATTCCATAAGGCGTATAGTACACAGCTTTTTCTTTAAAAATGAGATCCCCACTTTGGACAAAATATTAACCGAAATAAAAAGTCATCAGGATTTGCCACAGATGTCCCGTTCATCATTATACAAATTTATGAAACAAATTAATTTCAAGTAAGGTTGAAGACATATCTCGGAGCAAGTATAATTGCAATAAAAACATTTTATTTTTTTTGCAGATACTTAAAACGAAGTCGTAAAAGTGTGTTGATAGCACGTGATGATATAGTGACATGGAGACTTGACTACTTGATATCAATTAAAAAGTTTAGATCTGAAGGTAGACCTATTTATTATTTAGATGAAACATGGTTAAATGAAGGTCATACAAAAGAAAGGGCATGGGTTGTTCCTAATATTAAAAGCAAACGTGAGGCGTTCAATGAAGGGCTGTCTACGGGATTAAAAAATCCGTCCGGTAAAGGAAAGCGTCTTATTATCTTACACGCTGGCTCAGAGGAAGGATTCGTTGAAGACTCGTTATTGGTTTTCGAAGGCAAAAAGAGTGGGGATTATCACGAGGAAATGAATGCAAATGTATTTGAAAAGTGGTTTTCTGAATTTTTGAAAAAAATACCGGATAATTCTGTTATTGTAATGGACAATGCATCATACCATAGTCGAAAAGTAGAAGCTATTCCGACAACATCAACAAGAAAAATTGATATGAAGGCATGGCTGCAATAAAAAAATATCGAATTTGAAGAAGGTATGGTGAGATCGCAATTATTATATTTAATTCGCCAAAATAAAGATAAATATAATTTGTATATAACTGACGAAATGGCAAAAAAAAAGAAAAAGTTGTGTTACGATTACCGCCATATCATTGTGAATTAAACCCTATATTTGGGCACAGGTGAAGAATGAAGTGGCAAGCAAAAATAAAACATATAAATTGAAGGACGTAAACGAACTACTAATAGAGGCTCTTAATAATGTTACAAATATGAACTGGAAAAAATGTGTAGAACATGTGATTAAGGAGGAAGAAAAAATGGGTACACTTGACGGAATTATGGACGATCTCATTGAACCTTTAATTATATCAATTAATAATAGCGAGAGCGATATGGATACTGACTCGTCGAATAATTCAGAAAATTAGAAAGATAGAAATGCAACAATTCAAAGTAACAAAAACACCATTATATACTCAATGCTAGATGTAAAAATGTGAATCAATAAAATTGTTTTTAAAAAGTGAAAACTGGAATCATTTATATAGGTTTGGTTCGTAGTATATTATTTCATTCATATTCAGTTTTTCAATGTTATGTAGGAAGTACCTCCTATTTTAAAAAAATATATATAAAAGTTAAATAAACCTAGAATTAGATATTTATTCATTGCACATTATTTTGAATAGGTACTTAATAACCTCATTTAAAAGTAATGAAAGCTTATTGTACTCAAAATGAGGTTAAACACTTGCAGTGAGTATATACTTGATAGTCTGATGCCACAGAAGTTTAATCCAGTTTTATCTTCTGAGCTGATGCTATCTGGGGTAGTTTTTAGTAACTTTTGCAGTGTAAATTTGTCTTTGGCATTCACTCCTCTTAGTTTAAAAATAGAGTATAGTCGCGTACTTAGATCTCAAACCTTTCGAAGACCGACTACAATTTTTGGAAAATACGTATTTGAAAACCAAGAAGATATGCATGAATCAAAATATTTCTAAATTCCCCTTTTGCGATACTCACATTAAAATTATTGACCAATTAATTTCAAATTTAATGAAAAATGAACAAATATTAAAAACTATCATGAGTAAAAGCAGATCAAAAAGAGGATTAATAAATTTAGTAGGAAATATTCTTAAAGGAGCTTTTGGGACGCTCGATGAAAATGATGCAGAATATTATAATAATGCTATAAACAAAGTAAATTCAAACGAGAAACACCTTTTAGATTTATTGAAACAACAAGTCCAAGTAGTAAAGTCAACTCTTACAAATTTTAATAATACCATAACAAACCTTAACCATAATAAAGTAATATTTAACGATAATTTAAATAAATTAGGCAAATTTATGAATGAACTTAAGCAACAAAGCTTCAACATAGGAATGAAACAAACGATTGACGAACAATTTTCTCTCTTAGATTTAACATTAAACGAGTTACAAAACGAATATAACACTATAATCAACTCTATTATGTTTTCCAAATCAACCACTTTACACCCATTCAACTAATCGAAGAATTACGCAAGACTTTAATCTACTTACCTAACTCTTTATCTTACATTTTACCCTTGAATGATGAAAACGCTTATAAACTAACTGAATACATTTCTATCAAATACCATTTTAGTGATAATAGGATAATTTACGTTATCTCTAATCCACTAATTAACAATAATATTTACCATATGTATAATTTAATACCACTACCTATAATCAAAGATTCTAATAATCTACTTTTTATTCTACCTTCAATTAATTACCTATTAATATCCGAAGATAAAAACACTTACACAACATTAAAATCTCATGATAATTGTAAACCTATTGACAACGCTACGTTGAGTTGCATAATATCTGAACCTTTTTACAACACACACGTAAGAGCATTATGCGAAACAGAATTATTATTTACGAACAACAAAATTCCACCTTCTTGTGATAGACGAACAATATCAACTAATGTAGAAATTTGGCACAAATTAGAACAATCTAATAGCTGGTTATACATATTACCTAAACCTACCGATGTTACTATATCATGTCCAAGAAATATTTTATTAAATATTATTCTGAATCAAACAGGAATTTTGTCTATAGAAAAGAATTGTAAACTTTTTACCAGTGCGACAACCTTAATTTCTGAAGACAATAATTACAAAAGTAACTTCAAAGCAATCATACCTAGTTTCGACATCGAACTAGATAACTGTTGCGAAAGTGAAAAATTGAACAAATCAAATCCTGAATTACATCTAATACCAATGCAAAATATCAATTTGGATAAAGACATATTAAAAATGACTAGCCAGAAATTGAAAAATATAGAAGAAACTATTAATCAAATCGATAACGAAAGTTCATTCAACGTTAGAAACATAATTTCGAATTCATACTTTGTATATTTAATGTGTACAATTGTAAAAATCATATTAATTTTCATATTTTATAAATTATTTAGGAAATGTTGTAAAAGATTAAGAAATAATAAGACTTGTGAACAATCCAATATTCACCCTTGTCAGACTATCACAAATTGCTTGACACTTAAAATTTGTAAAAAATCAGAAAAACCTGATACCTCTATATCATTAGAGTTACCCTATAATCAAAATGTAACCAATGACACTGAGGACACTGAAAACTCTTACTTAAGAAGAAGCAGCAGAATTGCCAAACTAAAGGATAAGATGTAAAGAAAAATATCGAGTTACCGATGTTAACCCTATATTTTTCTTCTCCTAAGGGGGGAGATGTAATGTATTCTAACTGTATAATAGAAATATAAAACATTTATTATTAATTTAGAATTGTAAGTCATATTTTATTTTATTATTGTATTTTAGAATAAGGAAAAACACATAATAATTATTATAATGTTAGATAAAAATCCTATCTTAAACAATTACATTAAGTCACGTCCGCACAAACATATTATTTGTATACTATCTGTAAGTCCTAATGATTATTTACTCAAATTAGAATAGTTCCGCAAACATCCTCTTCTCCTATGTACTCAGACTGTAAACATATTAATTATTATTGTACATTCATCAATAAGCACTTTCAGGAAGCTGCTTATCAAAGTTATCAAATATTAAACAAAGCCAGAGCTTAAAACCAGTAGGACGAGAGAAGTTGCGACAGTTAGTTCTCAGTTCACAGTTAGTTCACAGTTCTCAGTTCTCAGTTCANAGTCAGTCAATGAGTTAAGTCGAACAAGCTAACCAATTCATTCTAAATCAAGTTGTTACTCAGTTAGTCTATATCAACGCGACATTACTAGATCATCGTTTCTACTCCATTGTAACCTGAATATCTACGTAAAATATAAGCTAGTGTAATATATTAAAATAAATTAGTGTTAAACAACAACAGCTATGTTTCTTCTGATATTACGACGAGTAGCCCATTACACAATTCAGGCAGTTTTTTAATGTTTACGGTGCAAATTGAAGTCAATATCAGGTCAAAACTGTTTAGTGCTGTCTAGAATAATATAGATTGTAGAGCTTTGTCTCGTGCCGCCATACTATACATAATCAGATTTTGAAATTGTTGGTTTCCTTAGAATAAACAATATTTTTGTTGAAAAAAAAAATAATAACCTTAAATGCAAGAAATATTACATATTCGTTACACCGTTATAAAAACGTTTTTCTCGACTCTCCATCTAAATCGATGATACGTTAACTACGTACAGTACGTATACATCAAGGAAAACACAAAAAAATTAAACATTTGGTTCAAAAATTGAACAATCATTGAAGTTAGTTAGTTCAAATAATTTTATCAATTAATTATGTCACAGAAAATTACGCAAATAGAGCAAATACTTCAATCACTTGATAAAACTTGTGTTCAAGTACCATTGTTAAAAACATCATCTTTACTACAATTTAAACCTACTACATCAGTTTGGAAAACTCTACAAAATGACACAATCAGGAATCCTTCCAAGTGAAGTTGACTTTAATTGGATTAATTTGAATAAAATTAATTTTTGTATAAATAAAGTTATAAAAGAAGGAAAATATGCAAAATTTAATTTGACTAAAAACTCTTAGAGGAGAATTTGATTTTTGTCTATTTTATTAGCTGATGAGATAAGAAAATGGTGTTATAAGAAAAATTTAGTTGGGGTGTTTTGGAAAGAAAAAAAATGGATCATAAGATCATAAAATGGATGGATAAACGACAGGTCTTGATCACAAGCATCACAATTCAAGTTTAGTTTCAACTGGAAAGAGAAACAGAAAGGGGGAAGATATTACCAAACCAAAGTGATTAATAGACTAGTAGTCCACGCTGCTAAAAAGGCGTGGATTACTCTGATCAATTGTCATCATATCATTCGGTATTACGTAGAAGTTTTGCAATTTCTACCAGCAAGAGCATAGGACTATGTCACGAAGACCTGGAAGAATTTGGTATCTTACTCCGATATTTAAAAAAATGATATAGGGTCATTGAAACCAGGATTTACCGAACAGTCATTTAGAGCAATTAGATGAAAATGCCAATAAGGGCCAGTAATTTGCAATTTAGTAATTGATGATACTACAATAACAACAATGATAATGTACCTTCAGCAAAGAATGCTTTGATGTTTATGGCTGTAGTCTTATATGCATCCTGGAAAGTACCTGTGGGACATTTCCTCATTAAAAGCTTAACTGGATCTGATAGAACAAATTTATTAAAAAAGCTGATGCATGAAGAAGGAGTTAAAGTGTATTCAATTACGTTTGATGGAGCGACGGTTAACCTTAACATGTGTACAAATCTAGGTGCTAATTTTACATATGGCGATGACTTTAAACCTTTTTCTTCCATACCGTCAGTAAAGAAATGGTCTGTTTTTTTATGCCTGCCAAATGGTAAAATTTATCAGAAATACTCTCGGTGATAAAAAATATTACTAAATGGTAAATGTAACAGAATTGGATGGCAGTATATTGTAAACCTAGAAAAATTGCAGCAATCACCACAAAGTGTTCATACTGTAACAAAATTGACGAAAAAACATTAAGTTTAACGACAATAGGATGAAAGTTAAACACAGACATTAAGCATGAGTATTATTCATTTGCTAAATAATTAAATATAGAAGGATTTGACAGGTGTGAAGATACATCTGAATTATATTTGATTTCTAACAATATCTTCGATTTACTGAATTGTACAGGGTGATTCTTTTATCATGGGAAATGAGTTTTTCTCGTAAACGGCTGCAGCAAATTGAGTTCTGTAAAAAGTATTTTATTTGGGCTGATTGATGCTTGAAATTGCGATGGATATGAAAGTTATAATTAAGCGACACTGGGTGTCGCGACGCTTCAAAAATTTTTTTGTCAGAAGCATTCCATTTTTATTTCAGAAATTGGAAGATCTATTGAACAGAAACACTTTTCCCAGA